TACTCGCAGTTGTCGTCAAGGTATATACTTCTCTGAGGAGAACAATATTCAAATCCATATTTTTTTAATAAACTTTTGTTTCATAGCAGAAGGCACAGCGCAAGTCTTAATGTACATTAAGGTCCCTCCATAGCGGTGTGTTAGTAGATTCAAGCCACCGTTTCTGGTAAAAGCTTTTCACTAATTAAACTCTCAGAATTTTATATTAATTGTAATTCTTATTTGTAGTTTAATGTAGAGGCATTATGAATACCTGTATATTATTAGTGAGGGATGATTAAAGTTAGTGGTGGTTGTTTGGTTAAATATTTTTTCTGGTTTGTATTTTTCCTATTGGAATTTAATTTTCCACACAGTTTTAAAGTTATGGTACCTAAACTTTTTTCCCTAAGCTGGCTTTTAAAATATTTAAAATTCCAGTCTGAAAACTGAATTAGTCCTTAGCTTCATTAGCACAGTATTCAAAGCAAAGCAATCACGACAGCTGATTTGCGCAATTTTAGCTTGTGGAGATAAGAATGTATGGATTAAAGCAATGTAGATTTGCACCAACGTTTGTGAAACAGGCAGATCCTCAGCTGTTCATGGTAAGGGATTTTTCTTTGCTGAAGTTGGCTGATTCGGGACCAGCTGTCCCTTACGTGGAGCATAAATTTAGCAATAATAGTTACAAATGTCAAACTGTAGTGTTGAAGCCAAACCCAGATACCCATGGCCAGTGCTCATTCTGTCCAAAGCTTATCAATGTTTAGCCATAAGGCTTTTCCTGCAACACAGCAGGGTCATCCCACTGATGTTTGGGTTATTATTAGTTCTGTAAATAGTTTCTATGTAGTGTAATGTTATACACAGCCTGCGAGTTTTATATTGAGTAGTATTAACGCAGTTCTTACTAAGTGCTTATTTCTGATGTCTGTGCCATCAATCAAAATACCACATGGTATGAAATAAATTATCACGTGGCTTTGAATATCGTATTTCAGCATTCTTGACTATCTCTATGTTTGAATTCTTAGAGGAGGAAAATTCTGTGCTTTAAAATCAAGAATAGTAAACTCATAAAGACATTTATTACTGCACTGGCAGTAAATGAAACTTTTAAGAGCAACCAATACCAATTTAATTAAATACCTGATAATTGGACTGGATCAGTTCAGATTATGAAAGCTTCATACCAACAAGGACATTTATCTCCTGTAGCTGTGTAAGCTGTTGCTGGCACTGTATCGGCAGGCGTCTTTTCTTCAAAGTATTCAGTGAGTCAATAATTAAACACCTTTAATCAAAACCAGAACACCTCACAGATGCCATCTCTATTTTGAAATTTTGATGTATCTGATAGAGTGGAAGGAGTATTTCTTTACTGTCTTTTTATTTCAAAATAAATGAAAAAGAGGACAAATTGGAGTTCTGTTTATTTGCTTTTTGTTGTTATGCCCTGGCAGTTGTCTTCAGGAAGAATCTGTTGTAGAGTCATGACAGCCCGAACAAAGAACTTTCAGTTACGTGTTATAGCCCTTCTGTTATTAAAGAAATGTTGGTTAAGTAATATTTCAGAATGATATATTGATATTTTACTTTTGCTTAATATCTTAATATTTTACTCTTAGAGCATACTCTTGAATATGCTCAGTTAGAGCATATTCTTACTGTATGCTTTGTCAGCACCTCAGTCCTTCTTCTCTGTCCTACTACCATGGTTTCCATGCTTTTGCAGAGCCAAGAAAATTCTGTGGTCCTAGAGCTACTTCTGGGAGTGCTCATGTTCACAACTGTTTCTTGGTACTTGATGCCTTAAATTCCAAAATGCTCAGGTGACTCCAATAATCCCGTTGCTGCCTGTCACTGTTCTCCTGATGCTTGTTAAGATGCTTCAAAATTTCCAGTCTGGTTGGCCATTCCCTGGACCTGCAGATGTATGGGTGGACATACCTATGATCAATGTCTCTAATATACAGTCAGTGGATTTGTTGGTATTTTTTCCCCAGCTGTTTTTGAGATGTTCAATTAAAAAAAAAAGTTTTATTCCCTTCCAGTCCACTCCATGAAGTGAGCACCTTACATCTTTGCAAACAAAAAGGCTTTTTGTCTTTCTCACAATAGATAGAGATTCATCTTGGATAAAAAGTTACTAGTAGCAGCTCTTTAAACTGTGGGTGTTTGCTGATGCTACATCCATTCTTTTCTTCTTTCAGCAAGCTCATTGCAAAACCCCAGCTTCTGTCTGTAGATGAGAAGAGCCTTGCATTAGCTGAAGAAGATTGGAGAGATTCCACTAAACTGGAGAAAAGTAACACAGCCTGGAATCTGGCACTGTAATGTGTGTTATGGATATGCATATGATTCTTTATTGCTATAAAACAGTCAGCTACTCAGAGCTCACAAAACTGATACTTTATTAATTGGATTTAGTGTTGCTGGATACCGACATGTTTAATTTATCAGTTTATGAGTACAGAAGTGACAATAATTCAGTAAATTCCTCCCATTTTTTCATTCGTGAGACTCTGTTAGCTCTAAAATGCAATCTTATTTTAATTTTTCAGCATATTTATAATGGTCATAGTAGTGATGGGAAGGCAAAATATTACGATGCCTATTCAAAGAAGTATGAGCTTTGCTGGTTTTCTCACCAGCTTAAGATGTCAGTTTTTGTAAGGCTTATGTAGATGAGGAGTCACAGACTTCTTAGATTGAGAATGCATAAAACTCATCAACTTCAGTCAAATATTTGTCAGCATGAAAGGCAGGCAGCTTTCAAACTAATCACTATTAAAAGGCAGAAGTGTCAGGGTAGTTGGTGCTAATGAGTTATGTGAATGACATGTGCTACTGTTTTTCCTGTAATTGCAAAACATTTCACTTGTGATTGGAGTGTAGTTGACTATTGCAGAGCTACTGTGCGTAATACAGGAAATACTATGAGAATTAACTAAAGCATGGTGAAGCACCTGGCTATAATGACTGCAGTATCAATTCTGTCAAGTGTAGCCAGGCTTAATAACTAACTGGAAGGCATAAAGCTGGTAAATATAATTTGCCCGGCACTTTGTTTTTAAATTACACTGAGTAATTTAGTAGAATGATTAGACTCTGTAGTGCAATTTAACTAACCTCAGTTTTACTAAGTAGAGCATGTAAGAAACTTCTCGTCCTCCAGGTCACATTTTTTTCCTGTATTTACATAAACAAATGACTGAAAGTAGCTCATACCTTTTCATACCTGCAAGCCTTAGTCTTCCAGACTGTGAGAAGGATTTAGCATGCCCTTTACAGTGACAGTAAGCTTTAAGAAACTACAGTTTAGTACATGCTCTATGATAATGGTTTTTAAAGGTGCTATGTATTTACTTGGTCTCTCCACTCATTAATTTAGCTTACCTCCTACCTACCTTTAGGTGTCCTTCCTTTTTGTTATCTCCCATCTCCCCACCCAAATTAGTTGCTACTCCCTATGCCTTTTCCTCTTACTCATGACTGAAAGCCATCTTCCATTTAGTCTGCCATAAATCTTTATTTTAACCGTTCCTTTATTCCTCTAAGTTAGTCTTTGAAGTCTGTCACTTCCAAATGACTCCTAGGTTAAACATCTGCTAACAAATTCTGCAGTAAAAAGCTATACAGTATAAAAAGTTAAATAAAAATGATGACAAATATGTATTAGCATTCAGCACTGGAAATTCAGATCTTGTGCTGTACAGCTCAGAGCAGGTACATATTTGAAATGGTGACCAGACAGAAGGTTTTTGTTAGGTAGCATTTTGAAACATGGACAAATTCTTAGGGATATGTGTCTCAGTAGCTTTGCAGTTCTATTCCTCAGAATGGATGAACTCTGCTCCACGCAAATGGAGTCCAAATACGCCGCTCTGGAACATCCACTTTAGATTTCATGACAAGTCACCACACCAAAACGTTTTATTAAGACATAAATAGCTTGAGTGCAAATATAAAAACTGCAACTGGCCTTATTATGCTGTGGCCAGATTTGTCTGAGACTCATCAAATATTTAAGTTAGCAGTTTCTTCACTATCATGAGAGAGTTGGCAAACACAATGGATCATTGAGGTAATGGGCAGTCAGAGAAAGAACACTGACAGAAATAAAAGCAGCCATAGTTTGCAGGATTATTCCTATTTATTTCAGGAGCAGTACAGACAATGTGCACCATAGGCAGAGAATAATGTTAAATGCTTTTAAACAAATAATATTATCTGCAAATAATAGAGTTAATGCATTTGGAATGTTTTCTAATTGCCTGCTTGTTTTTCAAAATACTTGCTGTTGTATACTGACTTTTAAGTAGAATGGTACAAAAAGGTAATGTAAAGATAGCAAAGCAGAGGATAATTGGAGTTGCAGACTTCTGTAATAAACCACTGTAACTTGATTGGTTTAGGACAGGTAATCTAACTTTAAAATTGTTATGGCTTAAAACGTGCTCAGTTATTAAATGTACAGCTTTAGTCCATGAAGACATAACAACTGATTCAGTAAAAATGTTTAAGTCTAAACCACACATTGACCTTTTGTAATGTCTTCTGGGTACTTATATTCTGTGCCCAGAGAACAAAGAAGTTTGCTAGGTTATTCTGCTGGCATTAAATATCAATTATGTACTGATACCTGGTGATTCATGCCCCATTACTTGCCCCAAGTTGTCCTCAAATTGCAGTTTGTGTATTAATAGTACCAGACCTTTGTTGAGCCATACTGCATTGCAAAACACTTGCCATGGGGACTGGATATTTTATGGGTACAGGAGAAAACTCTGAAGATGTGGTAGATGAAAGAAAGATAAGTTCACATGATTTTGCCTATCATAAGAGAAAATCAAGCAGAAGTCGTCTCCATCTAATTCATTGGGTAAAAAAGAAGACACATGCAATGCAGGATTTTAAGAAAATTATTTAAGAAAAGGAAAATTGAGGATGTTTTTTAAAAATCTTTGCAAGCAATGAGAGAAAGGAATCAGGAAAGGAAAGCAAGAAATGGAATTTTACATCAATCTTAGAAAATCTGTTATTTTTTCCAGGCCTTCATGTGTAGATTTGAATGTTAACACTTTATCAAGAAAAGAAAAGAATAATGATCCATGGAATCCCTCTTGCAGGTGGCACCAGGTCACTTTTATACCATGATCCTCTAATCGTTTCTTGTACAGCAGTCCATCATCTCTAAGCACATCCAATTCAGAGGTCAAAATGAGAGCCTCTGGAAGGTGAGCAATAACACAGTCTTCAGCTAGCAGTGGTGAAAAAACAGTGTCAAACACAGGCTTGATCAGTGAATAGAGTTCTTTTGAGAATGGTTGTGGTGTGCTTGGTTTGTAGCCTCTTATTTTAAACTCCTGAGGGATGTAGTCAGGACTCACCCATTTCTGGTACTTCAGTTTCAAATCTTCTGGAATGTGACAACCTTTAAGCACTGCCTCCATGACTGACAGGTCTTTATTAAGATACTGCAAACAAAAAGCAAGGGTTCGTTCCTTTAGCAAAACGGGGATTCTCTCATTCTGCTGATAAGAAGGCAAATTAAAGTCCACACCCTGGAGAAAAGGGTATATTAGGATTTGCGCTCTCAGCCTTGGGAGATCTCGTCTGTTCACCAGTGCTTGGGCAACACCAGCAGCTTGTGTACCTCCACTGCTATCTCCACAGATGATAATGCGAGAAGGGTCTACTCCATAATTCTGTGCAGTCCTCAGAAAGTGTATGGTGGCAGTGAGACAATCCTCAAACTGGATTGGATATGGATGCTCAGGAGCTAAGCGATACCTGAATAGGAGTGAAAGTGTTTTAACATAGTCATATCCAGTTAATGGTCCTGTTGTCCTCTTTTCTTTCATATATTTCATTCTGAAGACGGGAAAATATTCTGAGATTATAATTAGAGCAATAAAATTGATCATCATTATTGCTTTTGATGTATTATTTGCTACTATTGTTCATGTTTGGGAGAGTCAGTACACTATTCTATCTTTGCAAAATACTTCTCTACCTATTTTTTTAGGCCAGTGAAGGCACAAGCTGAGTTACTGTAGAATTAGATGGGAGGCAGGTATGTATGAGTCACTTATTAGTAATTCTAGTTAGCAACTGAAGAGAGCATTTCCCAGCAAATTGTTAGAGAATATGAGAGTAGAAAATTGGTAATGAAAATATGAAAGGTTTTCAATGGTTTTCGCTAAGCTGAATTCTTTATAAACAGAATCACTAAGATAATGGTTCTTCAAGTATTTTAGAGTGTAAATAGTAATTAGTGCAATTGTAGTCGGTTTCCAAGACATCGACTCATGTCCTGAACTTTTAAAAATTAGTTCTTTTAGAAATGCATTATAGCTCATCAGAAAAATATTTGAAATATTGATCTCAGGTTGATTGCAAGTTAAATGTGGATTCCTCCCTGGGTTCTTCAGAACTGCTAATAAAAGGAGTATTTAGTAGTATGAGCAACTGGGCTTTTAACAGAAACAGTTACACTTCAAACACAGTTTTGGCTTTCAGTTTAAGGTGGTTTGAATGTGGCTTTAGGAAACTCAAACATTCTCAACTCTTACTGGTAGCTACAAAGCTTATAAAAAGCTTATAATGAATTTTATTTGGAAACAAGCAAGTGCAAATTAGTTGACTAATTCTTCCTAAGAGAATTAGTGCTGGTGACCACTGCTGCCACTTCTGGAGTGGTCTTGCAGATGAGAAGTTACTTTAGAAAAACAAACAAACACAAAAAACTCTGCTAAATCTAGCACAGGAATTTTTCTTGTGCATGGGCCACCATCTCATCTGTCTTTCCATTTCAAATGCCAAACTGTGTTTTTTTCTTGTTTTGCCACTGTAAAGTCACACAGCATGTGATCATTAAACATAAGTACTGTATGCACCTAACAGAGAACTTGGCTTGCGGTGACTTTGCATTAAAGACTTACACACCTATAAGGAGGCACAAGCAGCTAAATTGTATTGTGTGTCTGGATTGACTCCACTTACCCCACAGACACCACCACTGAATTGCTTTCTCTAGCGAAATAGCGGCATACTCTTTCATAGGCTCCTGTTAAACAAAATATTTCAATGGAATTGTAACTTGCTTTAATAATAAGTTGAAATAAAATACTCTGAAAGTGTTATCTCTGTTCTATGATTAATGCTACATTGGGATTCTCTTGCTGCAGCATGGTCTAATCCGAACATTGCTCACAGTTTCATTACATCTGTGGGCATCTTCTTGCCAGTGGGAAACCTGGATTTCACGCCAATGCACTGTTTCAGTCTCCTCTTTGAGAAGTTAGTTGGTCTTGCAGATGAGAAGTTATTTTAGAAAAACAAACAAACACAAAAAACTCTGCTAAATCTAGCACAGGAATTTTTGTTCTGCATGGGCCACCATCTCATCTCTTATGTCTTTCCATTTCAAATGCCAAACTGTGTTTTTTTTCTTGTTTTGCCACTGTAAAGTCACACAGCAGTTTACACACGTACACACAAGCTTGCACACGCATGTGAACACACATTGGGATCTTTAAAATAGGAGATAAAATTCTGATAAGATTCTCAGCTTTTCTCGTAAGCATGAGGAAGAAAGAGGAAGAAATCAGGCATTATAAAAGAACAGAGAATAAAAGTTCTAGATACATTACCTGTATAAAGACAATTTAATATGAGGCCTATTGCACGTAAATAAAATTATTCTGCTGTCCTGTAATTAATTCTGTTATTTATAGTGCTTAACCTACTAATTTGTCGTTTAAGAAATACCGTGTCAGATCAGAAACTTAGTAGTGTTTGCAGTTATAGCACATATTATTTCTATTACTTACGAATGCTTCCAAACCGTCCAGCTCCTCCATGTAGATAAATGATGCCTCTTCTTTGGCCAGTGGTTGATATTTTTGGCTGGTAAATTCTGACTTTAACCGTTTCAAACATTAAGTCCTTGATAAAAAGATGTTTATCTTTTAATGGTGGTATTCCATCCATTATAGTCCTGACGACAGAGACCTCTGAGGTGACACCTACTTTTTCCAAAAATTTTGCCTGTTAATAAAGGGAAAGAAACCACAAATTATTGCAAATTTCCATTATATTAGATTATATTAGAAATGTTAGATGAGAGCTTGGTGTTTTTCAAGTTATTTCATTCTTCAGTGATGAAATAATTGCTTAGATTTTATCAGTAAGGAAAAACAATCAAACTATTAGCAGTAGATAAAAGAAGGTGTCAAATACTTCAACTTGTCAGGTGTTTAAGTAGCCATGTGCCTACACAAAATAAGAAGAGAGTAGGTACAGCATTTAGACTTCAGTTTTGGATGAAGAAATATGGTTAATACTGTCCTTTATCGAACTCATGCCACTTTTTAACTTGCAGAATAAAAATCCTTAGCATCTACCACAGCTGGCCTCCTGACCACGAATAGCTTTGAACCTCAGCTTGATCTTCAGACAGCTCAGTGATTCCTACTTAAACACTCAGGCTGAAGATTCTCATGTCACCCTGAGCTTGACTGCTTGATTGCTTCTGGATGGCTGTAAGCTGTTTCAGTCGTCCTCTCTAGTCTATTCCTGCTTAAGATGAAAAATGAGGCAGTATCAATATATTACCACTACATTGGATTAAATTTTGTACTTTTCTTCTTCAGCAGCAGATGTCTCTAGTGAGTAATTTAAGTTGTTGTATTGCTGTTATTCATGCATATGTATTTCAAAAATAATTGCATATACAAAGGTGTATTCTGCTTGTATATTAAAACCCCACAGTAAATCTTGTGCCTTTCACCTCACGTTTCACAGACTTCACATAGCTCAATAATGTGGTCCTGTTAAATTTGATGTAAGTATCCCATTTTAGGCCATTTGAGGAGCTGATCCCATATGCAGGAAGGTCATCTTGTGGCCATGTTTTAGTCTCCTATGGATTCCTTCTACAGAATTTCTGTATGATCTCCATGGGTGCAAGACGACCACAGGACTCCGAGACAACTCTATAAGAGTTATAAATCGAAGACTTTTATTTTATCAGAAGCTGCGCTTTTATAGTCCAAAATCCCTTAGTCACACTACATAAGCATTTCTATTGGTTACATATATGTGTCCATATCGTCTAAGCTAATACATGATTGGTTACTATCTTACATGTTACCGCCCACATCTGGGTCACGTTGGTTTACTTCCGCTTCCGGTTGGTTTACTTCCGGGTCGTTCTCTTGCGCATCGTCGTACTTTCTCTTTCTTTATCCCTATGTCATCTTAAGGCAGTCTCCCTAAATTACACAACTCTTAAGGTGGTGATTCCAAACCATAGAACTCTATATAATCATATCCATCTTCATTCATGAAGCCTCCAACACATGGGAAAATAACTTTGTTTCTTTAACTCTCCAATTCCCTCCTGTATTTTCTTTCCTCACACTAATACTTTTGTAACAGTAAAGGTTAAACCTGAAATTAGCTCTATTGTTTGCTGGCATCTGCAGTTAGCATCATCATGCATAGTCTTCATAGTTATTCCTGTTAATATGCAAATTAAGTCTTAACCTTGTGTTTTAAATATTACAGTTCCTGTGAACAGTAGTTCTACAAGAACCAGCAGAATTCGCATTTTTGCTTTGTTTTCTGGTTCAAGTCCATTTGATTAGTATATATGCTCCCTCAAAAGGAAGTATCGGGTCTTGGCCTACAGTTTCTTCAAAAAAGTGATCACTTGCAGGACAGCTGCAAGACTGGGCTGTGTGTCCATAAAGGTACACTTAGAGTATAACTTGACTCTGTGTCACGGGTTTCTTTATTACCAGAAATCCCACTTTCAAGATTTTCATGTTCGTCAAACTTGCTCTTCTGCAGGTGATTAACCAAGTCAGTCAAACATGACCTACATTTTGACATCTGTAAATAAGTGCAACTGCATAGTAGTAGAATTCGTAAACCAGTAATTGGACAGTTTGGGTATGTATTGATTAAGGATCTTCTAACACTAGAGCTGACGTGACAGCTTGAAAATTAATAAAGATTTCAGGCAGCATGAGACAAAGTATGGGACTAGGGAACTGCACCCTCATTTGAAGCGTTGCAAGCTCAACCTCTGCAGTCACACTGAGTGCAGGAGTGTCTGGCATTCACAGTGAAATACTGAAAAACTGATCCCACTGTCAACAAGAGGCACAGAGATTTCCATGCACCAGGAGAAAAGCTGTGTAAGAGCCGAGTGAGCTTGGAAGTGGGAGTCCAGATAAGTGTTCCAGCAAATGACATGTGCCTGCAGCAACGTGCTTGTGTTAATGACTGTGGGAGGGGAGTGATGGAGCTGTTGCTATCTGTGGTGTCAGAGTCCTTTGTCCTCTTTCCACGGGTACAGAGGCCTACTGTGTACACCCCTGAACTCATCTGCACCGCACTTCGTGCCAGCCCTTCTACCTAAGTCATTACTAGAATAAATTGGGTAAAATAAGCTAACAGAACTGTTAACACAGTACATAGCATAATTTAATCTGCCCCTCTATTTCCCAGACAGGATCAATCAAAAGTCCTCTGGCTCCTGTTTAGCTTTACTGATATGTCAGTTTTTCTTCTTGTAGACTGAGTATCAGATGAAAAACTAAAGTTAATAGATTTTTGAGTGAAGAAGTTGTAATAAACATTAAGATGTAGCTGTTTTTATTTAACTCATATCCTCAGTTGAAGACTGGATATGCTAGTAAACTTTAATCTCCCCTGCAGTTTTGACATCATGGGTTGTTATCCCTCAAAAGGATTTGGCTACTTTGGCACAAGTAATTGGCCTAAGAGCAATACCAAGAGTTGGTAAGTGACTCGGAGTTTACTTGTATTTCAGCTTTTGTATAACCGTACGTTAATATTCTTATATTTCTGATCATTTGATATGGTATGGTAGAGTGCTTTTGCTTGGCCTCTCACTGGCCAGCAGAAAGGATACAAAATGATAAGATCAAAAGTTGAAAACTACACGAGTCACCAGTAAATTTCTATGTTGTGCAGTTTAGCCTTTTACGTATGAATTACCCAAAGATAGAACTTTGTCTGACGGATAATGTGTATATAAAGAGCATTTTGACAGCGTGGAAGTCCACACGTTGCACAATAGATGTAAGGAAATTTAATTTGACTTCTGTAACTATCCTATTTTATTGCATGGCTTTACTGTCAGCAGTGTTCAGGCCTGGGTGGGGCACATCTTAAGACACGTGATGTTCTTAGGAGAAGACATATTCTTAGCAGCTTACTCACTGACTTCAAACAAAACTTACTAAGCATTGTAGCAGGGAAAGGGAGGAAGAAATAATGACATTAGAACATGGAATTGAAGTGAAATGTAAGCCACAAGCAAAACTGTGCATTTTTTTCCCATAAATTACAAAACTAAAAGAAAAAAAAGCTTGATTTAGGTATCACAGAAATGGTTTTAAAATGACAAAGGGAACAATTCAGGAAAGGGTAATTGCTGAAACAGAATGCAAGTAGGAGTCACGTTTTAGTTTTGAAGAGAAACAAATGAAAAACAGGAAGATCAAAAATTGTGAAAAGCATTGACACAGAAAGACAGCTTTAATGTTATGTGCACTATCTCAACAAAGGAAATCATCTAGACATATTGAAAGGCAAAGGATGATGAATGCGGCAGCTGTCTTTCAGATGGCTCAGAAGTAGTGATACAGTTGTGGAAGAGAATGGAGATCATGGCCATCATTTAGCTGCCTGTTTTCTAAATATTATTCAGAGGAGAAGTTCCACCTATACAGCGCAGTAAGCTTCTTAAGCCTTCCAGCACTGCATTGAGGCAACAAGATTGAAAAGCTAAAACAGAGACCATCAGAAAAAGAATGGATATTACACAGTCTGCTGAATGTTATTTTTTCCTTATTGTTACCTTTGGTGCTGTATAGCAAGTAGAGTATTATTAGAGTCTAAGAGTCAAGAGTCAAGAGTCTATTATAGTCAAGAGTCTATTATACCCAGGTATCTGAAGGTATCTGCAGTGGTGCTCACATCACCAAATTAATCCAGTTGCTTATTTGCAATATATTTAAACATTGATTCTAAAAAAAACCTCACCAATCCATTACCCCTCTATCAGAAATTAAATTAAAAACTCTAGCCTTAATCAAGTTTTACTTACCATACCAAACCCGAAGTTCAGCATATGATGAAGAATGTAGAGCTTTTGGCGCTGACTAATTTCAGGAGGGATTTCTGCCTTGGGGTGTTCATAATAGAATGCCATTGCCACAAGGACAGTCAAAGCAACGATGAAAATTGCTAGGAGTTCCATCTCGCTGTACTGTTAGGAGCCAAATGGGAGAACCAGCTGTGGCATCCTTCCCCCGCTGACTTTTGAAGGATTTCTGAAGGTAATGGCACAGGACTAGCAATCCCTTTCCAGTCCTGCCATCCAGCTTTTAAAATTGCCAATAGGAAGATGGAAACATGTCAAGCCTTACAAGTAGACAGGCAGCAACAATTAGTCATGGGAGAAGCTTGCACAAGCAGTTTTTTGTGTTTGCAGCTCACATGTTTTGAGTCTGTGCCCATAACCTTAGAACCAGTGCCTGATATCTCACTTGTAGCATCAATGTTATGAGAAGAAAAAACTTGTTCTCTCTCTGTTTCTTGAATGCAGTCCAGCATATGTCTTTTCTGAGTTCCTGTGGAACAGGATTTCATAGTAATCATCTGCTCAGTTTCTTAATTTACAGGGCCTCCACACCTTACTTCCTCAGACTTTCAGTGAATTCAAGGTTTCAGTGTTGCAAACCCATTTTTTCACCTTTGGTGACTGATTTTCTGCGCTGCTGTGCCATTGCATTTTGGCTCTTGATGGAACCAGGAGTATCTGCAGCCTGATGCATCAGTGCTTTGCATCTCACTTGATCCTCCTTGGTAGCTTTTCGCCAGCAGATGAAAATCAGTGCCAACTGTTATGTTTGTTTGCTTTGGGTTTGTTTTTTTAGTGGCCTCTTGGTTGAGCCTTAAAATACTGCAGTCTCTGTCCTCTCACGAATGTATAACTTACAAGCATCATTGTAGGTAGAAATACGATTCCAGCTGATGAAAACTAGACTTTGACTTCGTGGTTTCGGTGCTAGTACCAATGGATGGGCATCAGCAGCCTGCTCATTTCTGTGTACTATGTGGTGAGCTTCAGGATCTGTGACTTCCTCTGGAAATAACGTATTTTTCAGTACACAATTCATTAGTGTTAGGATTTAACCTGAAACAAAAAATCTGTAAAGCAAAGCCTTTTCAGCTCATACAATGTCACCTTAGGGAACAGTGTCTTTTTACCAGTTTGCTCAAATGGTGAAGGCAACAGATTCTTTCTCGAAAAATAGCAGTATGGGTAAAATGTGTGTGTAAAATTTTTCCTTAAATTGAAAAAAAAAATTATGCAAGACTCCAGAGCTTTAGAATGTATAATCCAGGACCTGCATTGGAAAGAAGACCTCAGACTTGATTCCTGACTTTAGAAACTGTTTATTAAATGTTAAGAATAAAGAAGAAGAAACTTCATTTTTGAGTCTGGTGATAAGAAACGGCTGATTCCGACTTCTGCTCCCTCTGCCCAAACTATTTCTTCATTTTACCCAACAACTCTTTGCGGACTTTCGTTTCCCAAGGTCCCCATTCTCTCTCTCTCGTGGCAGAAGATTGGTTACATACAAAGTATAAAATCAGATTCCATTCCTTTGACACTTGACGCAGCCACCCAGATCAGTGTGTGAAAAGCACGTTGCCTGCTCATTGGGATCGAGGTGGTGAATTCAAACCTGTCAGGACCAGGGTGCATGTACAGTTCTGCTTTTGTATTGCTTGGACAAGATCATTAGGACATACTGTTACAGAAAACATGGTTGTGGCTCCCTTCATTAGTGTTTAATAATAAAAGTAGTTTATTAGCTTTGTGCTAAATCGTGCTGTGTCAATGAGTTAGGTATGGTCTAAGTATGCTTATCAGATTTGGCCCCTCTGGAGATCTAAGAAGTCTTCTGAAACTTGTGACAGATCCTTTGCTCTAAGTTTGTTACCACATCTTGTTCATCTCTTTTCTAAATCTTTTTCCATGTCAGTCCTTATGGTAGCCTGTTTACCAACACTGGATAGGTCTTGGACTCTTCTGGTCATGGAAACTAGGTCCAGACATCACAGCATCCCCACCAGCCGCAGAGGCTCCACTCAAAGACTGAGTGTGCTGGAAGCAGCTGTAGGAGAAATAAACTTGTTGGTTCATGAAGTAATGAACTGCCCCAAATCCCATTTTCTCCTAGCCCAGGAACTCTCTTTCTGGTTATTTTGCAGTGAAGAGCTAAATGTCAGTGCCTCAAATCTTGTCAATACTGGGCTGGCTTCCTTAAGCTTTTTTTTCTGTTGTGTAGCTGCATATGGTAGGGAAGACAGAGGCTGAGCTGGTTGCAGCAGATATGAAATATTCCCCCTGAAGGCTGTTCCAAGAAATCTGCCTGCCCCTGAATCATGGTGCTGATTAGGTGGCAACTACACACTCACCTCCTTAGGCTCAGACAGGCCTGTACTGGGATACTGGGATACCTTTCCGAAAGAAGCTGCTGCTTGCACCAAGAGTTCTTGCACCCTTGAGTTCTGCAGAGCGTGAGAGCCATCTGGTGCTTCAAGTCTGAACTTGGAAACTGCGCTAGCCTGGGCGGCCTCGCCAACGTGCTCTGGCTGCTCTAAGGCTGTGTGCAAAGCCCTGACAAGTTCTGTTAACAACTAGTTTTGTGCAGTGACTTCTGTGCACACTTGTATCCTTATGTGTTTCTCTGTATGCTTAATTCCTTGTGGAAAGACACTGATGTGCATAATTCTGTAGGTGCACTGCAAGTTTGTGCTTGGTTGTGGTTGAAGTACTTGACTGTAGCTCGTTGGATGTGCAGAAAGATGAAGGTGCTGTCAGAAAGTGGCTGTGCAAAGAAGCTAGTAAAAATTATTTTGTATCTTTCCCTGGAAAAAAGGAAAGTCTTTAAATGAGTGATAATTTTGAAAACTAATTCAACACTCTGGAAACTATAAAATGCCTTCAGATGAATAAACATTCTATCTTGGCAATGCAAGACACATAGCAGATCTGTAGCTAATTAAAATAAATTAGAGGATGGGAAGTTCCATGGAGACAATTAGATCTTGTGATTTTCTCAGTTTTAGAAAATAGGCGAGTTGCCACTAAAAAAATACACTGTTTCAGCAGTTGCTGTTCTCTGCTTACCCATCTGCACTACCATCATTATAACCCTCAGTACAGATTAAAATGTGTGTGTTGAAGAGAGCTAAGGATTTGGCTGACGTATTATAAAGATAACTGTATTAACATTTGTAGTAAATTAAGACCTACAAATAAAGGATGATGGAAAAATCTCAGAAGATCAGTGTGGAGTTTGGACATCAGCCCATAAATGAGGCATCAGTCTAGATAGAGTAATGAAATGAAGACAAGTATTGGATTGCTGAACTGACAGGGAGTGTAATACACACTGCACTGAGCAGGATGTGTGTAAAATAGTGTGGGATCATGTGTGGTCATCTCATTACTTAAAACATACAAAGTGGAATTGTGTGGACAACCTTAGCTCTGACACTTCAAATAGTTGCTGTACCTGCACAAAATCATCGAGAGAACAAACCTGGTATAGAAGATGTAAAGAGCAATATATGAATAAACATGATCTTAAGTAGAGATAAGCCTAATGACTCTCATAGGTTTGACCAAAGTTCATGAAGTCATACCCAAACTAACTTTAAGTCTGTTTTTTCGTGTGCAGATAACAGTAGAGCTGGGGCAGAGGAGACCTGGATCAACTGCTCAAATATTATCCAGACTTTACTTAGCTTTTACAGCAGATACCAGCTCTGCTGGCCTAGCCTCGGCTACCAACATATAAGCTGGTAAGCCCACCTTCATCTTGAGATCAGAAACCAAAATGGATCCCCAGTTTCACATCAGGATGCGTAATCAAGGCAAATCCTCTAGTCCTCGAACAGTGGAATATTTGTTTATTTACTCCTGGAAAAATGTATTTGCTTGAAGAGTAAATGGCATTACCTGCAGTAGGGAAAATGAAACAAAAGTATCTGTTGTGTCACTGACTCATGAAGAAACATAATTTCATTTTGCTGAAAGGGACTTGGAGCAAGATTTCACAGGTAACAACTTGCTGCTCCAGAGATTCGCAGCTGCTAATTTGTCATGGTATTTTATTAATATGGTGACGGCTCGAAGAATTTAACCCACCATTTTCTTCCTACTCACAGTTTGGGTGGCAGTGAATGAAGATACATGCTGACCTCTTTCCACACTTGTGTGTGCATAGATATTACAAGTGCAAGATGGTTGCATAACAATGATGAAATATTTTACAATTCCTAGGCATTGGGTGTTTTGACACCCAATAGCCCGCTGGCTATTTTGACGTGCAATGGCAATTACCTCGGCGTCTGTGTTTAGCAAAGGTGGATCTGCCCTAATAAGCAATGTAACAATTGAGCTGAGATTTTCCTTCGCATTTTGGGTATTCACAGAAATTACTTTGGCAGCTTCATGCTGTTTACGTACTTTCTCCTCAGATTCGGAGTAAAGGAGTTGATTATTTATCTGATTACAAAAAGGCAAAAACCGCTCTGTCGCTGTCTTCCCTGAATACAACCAAAGGCTTCTCAGAAGGGAACTTTACAGAATATACTTCAGAGGACATTCAGTTATGTTTGTGTAGTTCTCCCTCACTGTGTCTGTGTTGCCAGTTTAAGGATACTTAGAGGTAGCCATTTCGTACCGCTCACATTCCTGTACCTTCCTTCTGTGTCACCCACCCATTTACATTTAAAATCAGATCTCTGAGTACACCCACTTCCCTACTTCAAATTTTACAACCAAGTCCAAAGCTACGGGTTGCCTCTGTACATTGTCTGATGATTACTTCTCATCTCAGAAGTACTGAAAGTATCTTCAGTCTCCAGAGGTGATGGGGAAGCATTTTATCTGTGCTGTCATCCCGATTTTGTGTGGATATGTGGATATGCATATGTACATTGATGATTGCTCTTATATTGCATGCTTTAACATGTGTTTTGCTAGGGTGAGTTTTTATTCTTTGATATAAGAGGAGAACAAAAATTCTTACAGTGGAAGAAGACAGCAGCAAAACAAGCATACTAATTACTGGGTTAAAAAAAAAAGATTATGGAAAATATGTCATATTCACAAGTAATAGCAATTTAAAATCAGCAGGCCACACCAATATTAACATACTGGTTTTTGTCTAGATTCTAACATACAAATAACTAGTAAATACTTAATTGAAATACACTCTGCATACCAGTTCACTGTATTCAAGAAAACATTTTAGCAGCCTTTTATAAAGTTTACAGTGTGGTTCGCTATTTTACTTGATGACGGAAAAGAGAAAATACCATAATCAAAAAATCCCAGTGCAGAGTGGAAGCTGTTTTCCATGTGGAACCAGGTCACGTTGACATTGTTGTCCTCGAGCCGTTTCTTGTACAACAATCCATCATCTCTGAGCACATCATACTCACAGGTAATTATACAGGTATCAGGTAGGCGAGAGATAACAGCATCTTCTGCTAACAGTGGGGAAAGTCTTGTCCCAAATAATTATTTTGTTTCTTCATAGACTTGAGGTAAAAATGAAGTGGGTAATGGTGGTTTATAGCCCAGTTTAAATCTCTCTGATATAAGATCTGGGCTAATCCATTTCCTATATTTCAAATTGATGCTCTCGGGAGCATGAGAACCTGCCAAAATAGCTTCCTTCATAGAGCAGTCCTTCTTCAGGTACTTCAGAATAAAATAGGCTGTACGTTCCCGGGTTAAGAAGGCAGCAAAAGCATTTTTCTGGTGAGATGGCAGATTAAAGTTCAGTCCCTGGAGAAATGGATAGATCAGTATCTGGGCTCGTATCTTTGGGATATCGCTTCTGTTTGCCAGTTCTTGGCAAACGCTAGTGGAAAAAGTGCCCCCTGCACTATCTCCACATAGAATAATCCGGTCAGGATCCACCCCGTAGTTTTCTGCCGTCTTTAGGAAGTGTTCAGTAGCAGTGAGACAGTCCAGAGTTTGGGCTGGATACTTATATTCTGGAGATAAACGATACCTGCAATGTACCAAAGACAGCTATTACCACAAATACCTGTATTTGTAAATACATCATCTTAAATGCATTCCATGCATTTGCAATAACTCACCAAAACCAGTATTGCTTATTTAGTTCACAGTTTTGCATGCTGAAGCAAACCAGAACAGCTTTCCCTCCCTTTTCTGTCAAACTACAGACATTGATCATTGATCATTGAGGTTTATTCTAGCATAATTTAAGAGTGGGAGAGCTTGAGTAGTGCAGTCCAATGACCCACATTGTACAAAGCCACACATTTACTCAGTTACTGATGGGAGTTCAAAATCCTGTTGTGATCGAAGTTTGTGCCAGCAGAGCAGTCGGCAAATCTCTCATTTGGGCTGACCTCGCAGGTATGTACAGCTACGAGTCAATTCTGCTTACCCACGAGATCCAACCAGGTTCTGGCTCCTGAGCTTTTTACACTGGATACACTGATTATTGTATTATTATATGTTATTTTTATATATGTATATATATTATATATGCATATAATTACAGTATATTATTATTACATTTTTATATAAAAAGTAATATATAATCACAGAATCCCAGAACGTTAGGGATT